CCTAGATGCTCCTCCAGGTGGCTGGTTCCTGGTGCTCGGTATGAACCCAGATTTACCTCTCTCTCTCTCTTTTTTTTAAAGATTTATTTATTTATTTGAAAGTCAGAGTTACACAGAGAGAGGAGAGGCAGAGAGAGAGGTCTTCCATCCGATGGTTCACTCCCCAATTGGCCACAACAGCCGGAGCTGGGCCGATCCAAAGCCAGGAGCCAGGAGATTGCTCCGGGTCTCCCACGTGGGTGCAGGGGCCCAAGGACTTGGGCCATCTTCCACTGCTTTCCCAGGCCATAGCAGAGAGCTGGATTGGAAGAAGAGCAGCCGGGACTAGAACCGGTGCCCATATGGGATGCCGGTGTTTCAGGCCAGGGCGTTAACCCTCTGTGCCAGCCCCCCTCTCTCTCTCTTAGACAAAGCCCTCACTCTCCTATGCATCTTTCTCACTAAATAAAAGCTTAAAATGTACCATGCTGCCTCATTTATCTATGCCAGTATTTAGAATTCTTCTCTAAATATTAGGCAAGAACCCTCTTGGGCTTATTAATATTGGGGATTTATTAATAAGCAAATGGTGATATCATGTGGCACCCCAAATTCCTGTAACATATGTGGCACCCAAGATGGCACTTCTGGGGAACCTTAAGGGACCACATTTTCATATAGATTTTAGGGGGTCATTTCCGATATCAGCAAGTGATTGCTCAAGTGCTTAGGTTCCTGCCACACATGTGGAAGACCTAGATTGAGATCCAGGTTCCTGGCTTCAGCCAGGCCCAGCCCTGGCTGTTGCAGGGGTTTGGGGAGTGAACTAACAGATGGAAGATTGATGGCTCGCTCTCTCTCTCTCTCTTTCTCCATCCTTTCTTACCTCCCTCCCTCTCTCCCTCTGTTTCAAATAATAAGAATAAATAATTTTTATAAAGATTTATTTATTTGTTTTGAAGGCAGAGTTATAGAGAGGCAGAGGCAAAGAGAGGTCTTCCATCCACTGGTTCACTCCCCAGGTGGCCACAATGGCTGGAGCTGGGCCAATCCAAAGCCAGGAGCTAGGTGCTTCTTCCTGGTCTCCCATGTGGGTGCAGGGGCCCAAGCACTTGGGCCATCTACTGCTTTCCCAGGCCATAGCATAGAACTGGATCGGAAGTGGAGCAGCCGGCGCCCATATGGGATGCTGGCACTGCAGGCAGCAGCTTTACCTGCTATGCCACAGTGCTAGCACCAAGAATAAATAATTTTTAACTTAAAAAATTTTTCAGGTTCCATACTGGGATGCCGTCTTTCCTTGCACCCCACCCCCTACAAAAGAAAGCAACTGGAGACCAGGACTGAGACAAGATCAGGGTGGAGCAGGCAGAGTCTCAGAATTCCTGAGACCACAATGGGGAGCCCCAGGACATCTTGGCTGTCCCCAGGTGACCCAGGGCAAACAGGATCATACTGGGGGAAGGGACAGGTTCAGGCAGGTGAGGCACAGAGGCTCAGGACTGGTGAGTTCCTACCATGCACAGCAAAACTCTCCAAGCTTTGGCAGGACAAAAGGATGACCACCTAGGGGAAGTTTTCCAAGTCTGGTTTTCCCAGTGGGAGCCGGCCAGCATGGAAGCCAGCCCACCCTCAGGAGTCACCCAGGAAGGGCTGTCCTTTGATCTCAGAGGAGCCAGGAAACAGTGGAGGCTTTTTCTTCTTGCAGGCCAGCAAGCCTGCTGAATCCTTCCAAAGGTTTCCATGTCTGGATGTACTAAAACCCCCCTGGCTTCTCACTGCAATGAAAGAAAACCCAAACTCACAGGCCAGGGCCCACCGGAGCCTTACCTACTTCCCTCTCTCATCTCCCACTTCTCCCTCCCAGGCTCACTTGAGTGCAGCCTGGCCAGCCTCCAGCCTCTCCCTCCACCAGGCCAACCTCACTTGTGCCCCCAGGACCTTGCCATCAGCTCTTCCCTCTGCTGGGGGTTCTCCCTTTTCTGATCTCACTGCCAGTTGCTCCCCCTCCTTCAGTCCTCAGCTCAAATGTATCTCTTGAAAGCAGCCATTTATTATCCATTCAGCCTGTTGTGTGGCGCTGGAGTGCTTATCTCTCTTTCTCTTCTTAGGAGCTTGTTAGGTAGCAAGTCAGAAATTTAGGCTGTGTGTGTGTGTGTGTGTGTGTGTCAGGCCTGAAGACCAGCACTTACTGCGCAAGCTCCAGAAGCCCAGCATCTTGCACTTCAAAGTCCTGCCCAGACCCTGATAACCTCCCAGGTGGTCCCAGCCCTTCCCCCAGGGAAAGCTCCCAGGAGAACTCTCTCCTCAGGACCAGATGGGTTACCTGACCTGATAACATGGGGCAATAAAACTTTCTCAGACACCCTAAGGGAAGCCCCCGTACTCTGCCCAGACCAGCAAATCTGAGGAAAAATTTGCTGATTTTCTCCCACCAAACCCTTCCACCAGGACTCTCCATCCTTGTCCTGGAGGAGAGGGGAGGTGGGTAAACAGACTCCCTTACAAACCTAGGGAGTCCTAACAGACTGCCGGCTCAGCCCTCTGCCTCTCTGCTGAGCCGCCCGCCTGGCCTGCCCAGATGTATTCTCTCCACTCAACCATGTAACCTCGCTCTCCCCCAGTCCAGTGACTGGGCGCGCTCTCTGTCCCTTCCGTTCTGACGGGTGCCCTATCCCCAAGAAAGCCTTATCACTCTGCTCTCTGTCTCACGCCTGAATTCTTTCTTGCGTGAAGACAAGAACCCCACAGCTTCCACGGCCTTTCCTCCGGTGACAAGCTCACTTACACACCTCATTTCTTGTTTTCCATCTGTCTCCTCTAGGAGAGCAGGATCCCATTTGCGAATGTCCCTATGGATCCCCAGGGCTTAGTGCAGTGGCACACAGTGGGTGCTCAGCAGCTGTTTGTTGCATGCCTGGAAGACTGCAGGCAAAATCCAGGTCTAAGGAGAAGCAATCCCGGTTAGAGGGCTGGCCATGTTATCATCTTGGTCCTGGTACAGCAGAAAGAGGCCATGGCCTAGGGGGACTAGGACCCAGGCTCATATGCACCCATTAGGACAGACAAGTGCACGTGCAGCCCCTGAGAGGTGGTCCAGCTCTGCAGCCAGGTCATGGGCGCCAAAGGGCAGCACAACACCAGGCCGTGTCCTGGGCAAGGAGCCAGCATCTGGAACTGCAGACAAGGACATGGGATATTCTGTCTGGGAGAGACTCAGCAACTGGGGTTCCAGCAGGCAGTTTACCAACAGGCAAGACCCCAGCAACTTGGCTGAGATTCCCCAGCAACTTGGAGCACTGGGGGGCCACAACCAGTTAGAAAACCATCTTGGGGCTGGCACTGTAACACAGCGGGTTAAGCTGTCGCCTGCGATGCTGGCATCCCACATGGGCATCAGTTCACGTGGGAGACCCAGATGAAGCTCCTGGATCCTGGCTTCTGTCTGGCCCAACCCTGACTATTGTGGCCATTTGGGGAGTGAACCAGAGAATGGAAGTTCTCTCTGTCTCTCCCTCTCCCTCTGCAACTCTGCCTTTCAAATAAATAAAATACATCTTAAAAAAAGAATCTCTACTGGGAGTACTGGACAGGTTCCCAAGATAGGGATCCAGGCAGAAGCCAAGTGCTAAGAACCAGACTAGGGATTGGGCTGAACCTCGGGCCAGGCAGTGATGGGATAGGATGCGGAGGAGAGGTCTTTGGGGATGAGCCAGGCAGGACCCAACAGGTTCTTTGGGTGGAAAGTACATCTACTGTGTTACCCTGGGCTCTCTGGGGACAGAGAGGCATATGCCTAACAGAGAAAAATACCCGGCCAGGGCCCCCTTTCTGTGGGATTCCAACAAGAGAGCTCCCTACAGCTGGGGCTCTGATATGCATGCCATTACTACCCACTGAGCGTGCAAGGGGCTTTCGCATCAATTGGAGCATATGTGTAGGGAAGAACCAGTGGGCTCTCCTGCTGGAGAACCATCACAAGCTCCCATTGGCTCAAAGACCAAGTTCTTTTTAACTTTTATTTAATAAATATAAATTTTGAAAGTACAACTTTTGGATTATAGTGGCTTTTTCCCCCCATAACCGCCCTCCCACCCACAACCATCCCATCTCCCACTCCCTCTCCCATCCCACTTTTCATCAAGATTCATTTTCAATTATTCAAAGACCAAGTTCTGTCCACCCCGGCCATTCAGCTGTCCTTGGGCCACACTCCTACTGTTTGCCTGTCTAAAGCTCCCAAGGTCCTTCCTACCTGCCTGCTTTTGCCCCCTGCCTCCTTTGTTACCAATGCAATTGTTATACTTTATTCAGCATACAAAAGGCCCCACGAGGACATTTGTGGGAGCCTTCCTTAAAGCCAAAGACAGCATGCTCTCAAGTCCCATAGCACAACCTTGCACTTACTGAGGTTGTCTAACCTGTGTTCACAAGTGGTCTCATGGCGAGACCACAGGGTCTGGGCATATAGGGAACCTGTTCTCTTTTCCCAGCAGAGGTCTGGGGGCCTAACAGATATTTCTTAGCTTGAGCCCTGCTGCATCCAAGAAAGGTGGGTGGGGGGTGGGAGGCATGTTTTGGTGGCTGAGACTGTTTGGTGAAAAATGGGAAGCAGGGTCTAACCACCCTGGAAGCAACTGGGCCCCTTAAGGAACAGGCACTTCCTATGTTTTAACTGTGAGAAATAGGGAGAGGGTAGCCTATCTGGGCATCCCAGACACACATGGAGGGAGCCTAGGAAACAGGCTCCTTTCTCAGCTTCTCTACCCTGCCACCTGCACTGGCTCTCTAGAAAAACAAATTGCGCCTTTGTCCCATTCTCACCGAGAGTTTCTGCCCACTGATGATGCCAAGCGACAGAGTGGATCAGTCGTGAGGAAGTGACTCAAATGAGGAACAGTTTAGGTAGCCCAGACAGCCGGTGTGGCGTGTGTATGTCACGCGAGCCAAAAAGCAGTCTGGCTCTGCCACTCATCACAATTGGAAATATCTTCTCAGAGGAAAGCAAGACATAAAGCCAGTTGATAATCTATACAAATTTTATTTTGATATCAATTTGTATGGAAACAAGCAGGTGTCAGCATGATGCAGGCACGGAAAAAAGGGAAAGAAAAAACTCCAGTGATAATTGATCTTGTATGTACACCATTGGGTTTCAACAAGGACAGGAAGTCTTACTGTTAGCTTCCCGTGGGAACTCCAGTTTCTGCACCTTCCCCTGCTGCCTGTCAGCATCACGATACAGCAGCGATTTCTGGGCCTTCAACCGGCAAGCCAGGCACATGAAAATCGACTCCACGTTCTGACTCTCTTTGGGGTCCTTGGCTGATGTCTCAAACAAGAGCATGTTGTGGGCATCGGCAAATTTCAGGGCTAAATTGGAGGGCACCTGGATCTGTTCCCGCAAGTCACACTTGTTGCCCACAAGCACTTTCGGGACGAGTGGGGGCACTGCATGCCCATTGCACTCTTGGATCCACATTTTCAGGTTGGTGAAAGATGTCATCTTGGTGACGTCATAGACAAAGACCACTGCATGCACATTGCGGTAGTAATGCTCAACCATGCTTTTACGGAAGCGTTCCTGACCCGCTGTGTCCCACACCTGAACCTGGAAGATACAAAAGCCAACACGCAGAGTCAGGAAACAGGAGAGACGTGGTTCCGCAGCAGTATAAAACACGAGGTTACAAGTCCTGACAAAGGAAGTGCTTCTTTCACAGATTAGCAGCATGGATTTATCAAAGGATGAAGCGAAGTTTCTGGGTTTGGCAAGCTTTTCTCCAGGTGGTTAGTTGAAGGGCGGGCGTTCTGCCCAGTCTGGCCTGCATCATGTTTCCGAATGCCTGGGTTCAAGTCCCAGCTCTGCTCCTGATTCCAGCTCTGGCCATTACAGGCATTTAGAAAGTGAACCAGGGGATGGGGGAGTTTCTCTCTCTCTTCTTACTTATTTTTGACAGGCAGAGTGGACAGTGAGAGAGAGAGACAGAGAGAAAGGTCTTCCTTTGCCATTGGTTCACCCTCCAATGGCCGCCGTGGCCGGCGTGCTGCAGCCGCCGCACTGTGCTGATCCGATGGCAGGAGCCAGGTACTTCTCCTGGTCTCCCATGGGGTGCAGGGCCCAAGCACTTGGGCCATCCTCGACTGCACTCCCTGGCCACAGCAGAGAGCTGGCCTGGAAGAGGGGCAACCGGGACAGAATCCGGCGCCCCACCTGGGACTAGAACCCGGTGTGCCAGCGCCACAAGGCGGAGGATTAGCCTAGTGCGCCACGGCGCCGGCCCTTCTCGCTCTCTCTTTCTCTCCTTCTCCCTCTCTCATTAAAAGAATATTGCCAATTGAAAACCACACATACAATAATGATGACCATTGACAATATTTTAATAGAATCCAATGCAGCCTTAGGAGACGAGCAGCCTCCAGCCTTCAGCTCTTCAACAGGTGACCTGAGTTCACAGCAGACGTCCGATCCAGCCCCCTGTTAATGCACCTGCGAAAGCAGCAGAGAATGGCCCAAGTGCTTTGGCTCCTGCACCCACGTGGGAGACCTGGAAGAAGCTCCTGGCTCAGCCCTGGTCATTGTGGCCATCTGGGGAGCGAAGCAGCATATTGAAGATCTCGCTCTGCTCTCCCTCTCTGTGTAACTCTGACTTTTAAATAAATAAATAAATCTTTAAGAAGTAAGAAGGATGGAGGTCAGCATTATAGCGCTGTGGGTTAAACTGCTGCCTGCAAGACCAGTATCCCATATGGGTGCTGCTTCAGGTCCCGGCAGATTCACTTCCCATCCAGCTCGCTGCTAATGACCTGGGAAAGCAGCAGAAAATGGCCCAAGTGCCTGGGCCCCTCCCACCCACGTGGGAGACCCGGATGGAGTTCTTGGCTCCTGGCTATGGCCTGGCCAAGCTGGCTTTTTCTGGCCATTTGGAGAGTGAACCAGCAGATGAAAGGCCTCTTTATCTCTCTGCCTCTCCCTTTCTTTCTGTCACTCTGCCTTTCAAATAAATCTTTAAAAACATATACAAAAATCTTTGTATGCTATGGTTACAATTTTTTAAACTATTAAACTTAGACATATGCATAGTAAATCAAAACATTAATATTTTTTATTCTTTAATTTTTAAAAATATTTATTTATTTATTTGAGAAGCAGAGTTACAGACAGACAGAGGGGGAGAGAGAGGGAGGTCTTCCATCAGCTGGTTCAGTCCCCAAATGGCCGCAACAGCTGGAGCTGGGCCGATCTGAAGCAAGGAGCCAGAAGCTTCTTCCAGGTCTCCCACGTGGGTGCAGGGACCATCTTCCACTGCTTTCCCAGGTGCATTAGCAGGGAGCTGGATTGGAAGTGAAGCACCCAGGAATTGAACTGGCACCCATATGGGATGCCAGCGCTGTAGGCTGTGGCTTAACCTGCTACAGCACAATGCTAATTCTATTCCTTAATTTTTAAAAACATTTTTATTTATTAATTTGAAAGGCAGAGAGAGACAGAGACAAATATTTATAGAAAGAACTCCTGTCCACTGGTTCACTCCCCAAATGCCAGCAACAGCCAGGGCTGAGCCAAGAATGAAGCTGGGAGTCAGGAACTCAATCCAGGTCTCCCACAGGGGTGGCAGGAACCTAACTACCTGAGCCATAACCTGCAGCCTCCCAGGGTCTGCATTAGCAGGAAGCTGGAGTCAGGAGTTGCAGCTGGGTATCGAGATGCTGCATGTAATCCAAGGGCCCAACTCCTGCCTCCCATAAAAGGTTATTTATGGACAGTGGGACTGTGGGTGATTTTTATACTCTTTTATGTATTTTCCAAGCTTTCTACTGTAAGCATGCATTGCTTTGTTTTTCATTAGTTTTTAAAGGAAGCTAGTGTTAAAAATCTCACATTTTAGGGGCCGGTGTTGTGGCATAGCAGGTTAAGCCTCTGCCTGTGGCACCAGCATCCCATATGGACGCTGGTTTGAGACTCAGCTGCTCCACTTCTGGTACAGCTCTCTGTTAATGGCCTGAGGAAAGCAGTGGAAGATGGCCCAAGTGCTTGGGCCCCTGCCATCCATGCAGGAGACCCAGAAGAGGCTCCTGGCTCCTGGCTCCTGGCTTTGGCCTGGCCCAACTCCCAGCCGTTGTGGCCATTTGGGGAGTGAACCAGTGGATGGAAGCCCTTTCTCTCTCTCTCTCTCTCTCTCTCTCTCTCTCTCTCTCTCTCTCTCTCCCCATACACACACACACACACACACACATATCCTCCTCTCTCTAATTCTGCCTTTCAAATAAATTTTTTTAAAACTCACATTTTAACTCTCTCTCTATATATTTTTAATTAATTAATTAATTTGAAAGGCAGAGTTACAGAGAGGCAGAGGCAGAGAGAGAGAGGTCTTCCACCTGCTGGTTTACTTTCTAGATGGCCGAAACGGCCAGAGCTGCGCCAATCCGAAGCCAGGAGCCAGGAGCTCCTTCCAGGTCTCCCACACGGGTGCAGGGGCCCAAGGACTTGGGCCATCTTCTACTGCTTTTGCAGGCCATAGCAGAGAGCTGGATCAGAAGTGGAGTGGCTGGGACTCGAACTGGCGTCTACATGGGATGCCAGCACTGCAGGCAGTGGCTTTACCTGTTACGCCACAGCGCCGGCCCCAATATATTTTTAAATTCACTTATTTGCTGTGTAAAAGGTAATTTAACTCATTGGATTTCTTTTCCCTGCATCTCAGCTTTTGGGATACAGGCCAAATTATGAGGAAAAAAGCTGATATCAGTAACATGTGCAAAGACACAACTCCCAGGGGATACTGTGGAGTCAACACATATTCAAACCCGATATGTTGTCCTTGATACATCCAGTATCTTCGACGAGGAAAATTCATGTGCAGAATGATGGTCCCAAGGCCCTATACAATTCTCAGTTATCAAAGACAATTGGATTATGACCACTAATTGACTACTATGGCTCTTAAAACGAAGGATAGCCTTTATTTGGAGTTAGCAGTCAGTGAGTATAATCTAGTAAATGTAATTGAATCTCTGTGCTGAGTGAAGATCTTACAGGGCCCCAGAGTCATCATTCTGAGCATCACTTTTCATTGTCCTGCCGCCTCCTTCATCCCGCCTGCCGACAGAGCTTCCAAGTGCCTTCGGCATGGCCTTCAGGTTTACCCATCTTCTTCTATTTTGACTTTCAGCCAGACCCTCCTCTCCTCACTGCTGGACGACAGAAAAGGCTTTTGCATTCTTCCTTGTCTCTATTTCAGGGTCCCCTGGATACTGCATTCGGACTAGCCTTCCGAAATCCCTGCTTGTTCCAGCACACCATCCTCTTCTGGAAGTTACGAGAACCCTGTGGTGCATGTGGCACCAAATGGAAAATTTTCCACCTGCCACAATTTGACCCCTCCTGACCTGGGTTCTAACTAGGCAGCTACACCTGGCTCATTCCCGCCTCTGTTCCCCTGGTCCTACTGGTCCTACCCTTCCCCTGTGGGATTGCCCTATCCAAAGCTCACTCAATCTTCAGTGCTTGGGCCTTGCCTCCACTTTCTTCCTCCAACCTCTCCAACCTCCCTTCAATTCATTCTTAGGAATGTCTATTGCACTTTAGCCTGTATCACACAGTTCACCATATATGTGTCCTCCATTTGTTTCATCACTACTCTTGGCCTGTCCCCCGCTGAACCCTAAGCAGCCTTTTTTCTGCGGCAGATCACTTGTCATCGAGGTTGTCACCACCATCATCCTCATCAATCATCTCCATCATCCTCACCATCATCCTCATCAAAGGGCAGTATTGACCCGAGCCACCAAAACTACAAGCACAGTGACATCCCAGACATCTGCCAAGGTCATTTCAGTAAGAAGATCTGACTCTAGTTCCACAGAAAAACATAAGTCCTCGAAGACTCATTTGCTTCTGCAAGCGAAGAGACAAGAAAAGATGTTCACTTGTTCCACCTCTCTGGTGCACTGAACAGGGAGAAAGTGAGAGCAGGCCAGGAGAGGAAAGGAGGAACTTCACTGGGAACAGAGCAGGTCTAAGCCCAAGAATATCATTGCCACTTGGCTCCCCGTGCCTGCTTCCCCCTCCACGTAGCCTTAGCTCTCGCCTCTTGCCTCTGAGTAAAGGCTGACTCCTACCAGCCCTCAGGCGGGCGGCAGATGCTTTAACACCATGAGCTCAGGACTCTAAAAATACCTGCCACTAGCAGGAACACGGGTGGGAGTGTGTGAGGGGTTTGCGGCTCAGGCCGGCTGGCTGTGTGGCTCTTTTTGGCTGCGTCACTGTGTCACCACCACCCCTCAACCCCACCCTCGAAGCAGCCGGAACTGCTCACGAGCTCCTCTGCCTTCCCCGTCTGAATGGACGCCTCGAAGCTTTCATTTGGGTGCTCAGAATTCCAACCGTAGGCACTGCTCCCATTCCAGCTCTTCGTAAGCCCCCTCCCACAGTTGCCGGCACCCTTGCCTGTGGTGAGAGGTGAGCCAGGAAGCTGACCGCTCTCGCTGCAAACACAGTAGCAAAGTAGCAAGGCCAGGCTTGCTGCCTGCAGCCAGACGATCTTGTCCGGTTCAGCTCTTCCAGGTGCCCGTCCTCAGCATCCTCACAAACCCCCGGCCCCTGCC